ATAATACCTGTGCTGGTACTACTAATATTCCGACGACGACTACTACTACTGTTTTAATTATTACGAATAATGAACCTACGAATATATCACGAAACATACATGGTGAAACATTTTAATTCCTAATTGTGATTACTACTACTATCACATGCATAACAGTAGTAGTCATACTACTAAAGCCAATCAGAAGAGGAATGTGAACATTATAAGAAGACGAGGGGGAGAAGGAGGAGGAGGAGGAGGAGGAGAAGGAGGAGGAAGACGGAGGAGAGTAAGAGTGGCATGGTGATGTAGAGGAGGGACAGCGACGACAGAGGAGGCCAGGCGGGCCCGAGTGTGACTGGAGTGCGTATCCAGGACAACAGCAGCATCTACCTCGCTCTGGAGTGCGCCACGACGGCTCGGCCGCCGACGCTGTCGCTGCAGATCTCCTGGGAGGACGGGGGAAGAGGGACGACATCAGGAGGCTGGAGACAGGGGGAAGGGGGGGAGGGAGAAGGAGAAGGAGGAGGCGGAGGAGGAGGAGAAGAAGGCGGAGGAGGAGGAGGAGGAGGAGGAGGAGGAGGAGGAGGAGGAGGAGGAGGAGGAGGAGGAGGAGGAGGAGGAGGAGCGGGAGGATGGAGGAGGAGGAGGAGGACGGGGAAGAGGAGGTGGAGTAGGAGGATGAAGGACAGGCGAGGAGGAGGAAGAGCACGAGGAGGAGCAGGAGGAGGAGGAGGAGCAGGAGGCAGAGGCGGAGGCGGAGGAAGAGGAGGAGGAGGAGGAGGAGGCGGAGGAGGAGGAGGAGGAGGAGGAGGAGGAGGGCGCCGATTCTTGGACTGTTGCAGGCCGCCTGCGCGGGTGGGGTTGGCAGGCGTTACGTGCAGTTTTCTTTCTGATTGGGCGTACGTGGAGCAGTCGGAGAAGAACAACCGTCATCATGCACATACATTTTTTGAGCTCCGCGCTGATTTGTTGGATCGGCGCCGGAAGCCCCCTGGTGGCGCCTCCAGCGCCGCCCCTGGCGCGCTGCGCGCGCGCTGGAGGGGTTCCAGCGCTGATCCAAGAAATCCACGCGGAGCGCCGAAAGTCTGTGCCTATGCCGTCTCTTATTCCTCTATCTTCGGCTGGGGTCTGTGAGGGAGAGGGGGCGATGATGAGCAGGAGCAGGAGCAGGATGTGGAGTATGAGATCGAAGCAGCACGGATAGGTTGGAGGAGGATAGTGTGGAGGGGGAACATGACAGAGAAGGGAAAGGCCGAGGAGGCATGACGCCATGCGATAGCTATGCTGCCGCCTGATCGTTCGACGACGACGCCGACGATGACCTTCCTGAGCCCCCAGCGTGTGGCGCAGGTACTGCGACGGGGGCGACTTTGGCGACAAGGCGCCACCGCCGCGCCGCCCCGCCGACCCCACCCGGGGGGGGGGGGGAAGGAGGAAGGAGTGAGGAGGAGGAGGAGGAGGGAGGAGGAGGAGGAGGAGGAGGAGGAGGAGGAGGAGGAGGAGGAGGAGGAGGAGGAGGAGGGACTTGTTCATCAGCTGGAGTGACGAGGTTGCCCGCTGTACGGCCGCTGCTAGTACAGCTACGTTGTATTCACGGTGTAGCCTGACGCGGCCCGTCGCTCGACTCCCCCTCCTGACTTTGAACGGAGGTCAACGGAGAGTATACGAACCACGCGCCTGCGTCCTCCGCCGCTTGGCTCAAGCGGCGCGCGCTAGAATATATGACTACCCCGATCTCGGGGTACTATCGAATCCGAGTAATTTGAAAATGAGTCTTCCCGATTCTTCGGGGTTGTGTTCTCTTTTTCAATGCCTTATCTTCCATCTGCCTACTCCTACTCACTGGATGAATAAGCCACGGGGTGCTATTCGACGCCTAGGGTGTAGTATATGGTACGGCTTACCATTTGCAATCGAGTCAGACCGCCTCTTTTTGCGTCGCTTGGAGGTGGGCAGGCTAAATCTCGCCCGCCCCGGCCAGGAGCCGCTCGAACCTGACGTTGGTCGGGGGCGGCGTTTCCCGTGGAGGGGGGTGGGGTGGGAGAAAGAGGAAACGAAGGAGGAGGATTTGGAGGGGAAGGAGGAGGAGGATGAGGAGCAGGAGGAGGATGAGAAGGAGAACCCTTCCTCGCAGGCAGGTCAGAGGTAATAGGAGGAGGAGGAGGAGGAGGAGGAGGAGGAGGAGGAGGAGGAGGAGGAGGAGGAGGGGAGGGGGAGGGGGAGGGGGGAGGGGGATGGGGGAGGAGGAGGCGGAGGGGATGTGGAGAATGAAGGAGCGGGACGGGGCCTTGCTGCCGAGAAGGAGGTGGTGTGCCTGGCGACCTTGCGAGGAGGGGAGGAGGAGGAGGAGAGGAGGAGGAGGAGGAGGAGGAGGAGGAGGGAGGAAGAAGGGGGAGGAGGATGGGGAGAGCAGGGCAGGGGGATGATTACGACGATGATGCTGAAGAGGAAGAGGCGGAGGAGGAGGAGGAGGGGGAGGAGGGGGAGGAGGGGGAGGAGTGGGCATGTATGATCGTCGGAACGTTGATGACACTGGCGGTGATGATGACGATGATGATGATGATGACGATGATGATGCGGATGATGGTGATGATGATGATGCTGACTATGACGATGATGATGCTGCTGATGATGATGATGATGATGCTGATGCTGATGCTTCTGATGAGGATGCTGATGCTGCTGCTGATGAGGATACTGATGCTGATGATTATGAGGATGATGATCTTGCTGCTGATGATGCTGATGATGAGGATGCTGCTGTCCATGACGATGCTGATGCTGATGCGGCTGATGATGATGATCATGGTGCTGATGCTGATGCAGATGCTGCTGCCGATGATGACGACGACGACAGCGACGACGAAGACGATGATGATGATGCTGATGATGTTGATGATGCTGGTGCTGATGATGCTGATGATGCTGCTGATGCTGCTGATGCTGCTGATTCTGATGATGCTCACTACGATGATGATGATGCTTATGCTGATGATGATGCTGATTGTGATGCTGATGCTTCGGATGTCGATGCTGTTGATGATGCTGATGCTGAGGATGATAATGATGATGCGGTTGATGATGATTCTACTGACGATAATGATGATGCTACTGCTGATGTTCTTGTTGATGATGACGTTGATAATGATAATGCTGATGATGACGGGTGATGATGCTGATGATGATGCTTATGATGATGTTGTTGCTGCTGCTGATGCTGATCATGACGATGATGGTGCTGGTGGTGCTGATACTGCTGCTGATGATACTGGTCATGCTGATGATGACGCTCGTGATTATGATGATGATGGTGCTGCTACTGAGTATGCGGATCATGGGGAATCTGATTATGATTGGTCGTTGTGGTGGTGATGCTGGTGTTCATGATGTTGTGGAGTACGAGTCTGGCGACGATGCTGCTGCTGCTGCTGCTGCTGATGATGATGATGATGATGATGATGATGATGATGATGATGATGATGAGGGTACTGCTGATTGTGAGGATGCTGCTGGTGCTGTTGAGGTTGATGTTGTTGAGGTTGCTGATGCTATTGTTGTTGTTGTCGTTGTTGTTGTTGTTGTTGTTGTTGTTGTTGTTGTTGATGTCGATGTCGATGTCGATGTCGATATTGATGTTATTGATGTTGTTGTTGTTGTTGTTGTTGTTGTTGTTGATGTTGTTGTTGTTGTTGTTGTTGTTGTTGTTGTTGTTGTTGTTGTTGTTGTTGTTGTTGTGGTTGTTGTTGTTGTTGAACTCTCACTACCGTCTTTTTGATCCCCCCCTCCGGTGCACATGATATTTTTGTCAATTGAAGTGCCCCTCCAGGCGCTCGCACCCTGTTTTTTATCAGGGAAAGTCTTTCCCCTCGAACTGGGCCCCTGTCCCCTGGGTCACAACAACGGCTCCCGCCTGAGACTTCCTCACCATTTAGCCAGGACCCCCGCTCCCGCCTGAGACTTCCTGGCATTTCATTCAGGAATCGCGCTCTCGCTTGGGACTTTTCAGCCATTTATTTTGGAATCGCTCTCGCGGCGCTCTTGAGTCGCGCTCTCGCTGGAGACTTGCTTGCAATTTACTTAAGCATAGCGCCTTTGCGTTGGAATTTCCCGCAATTTGCTGAAGCGCCGCGCTCCCGACACTCAGGCACCCAGGAGTCGCGCTCACGCTTGGGACTCCTTCACGGACTACAAACATGAATCGGGATCTCGCTGCCCTTCGTGGCTTCGTGGCAGCCCTTCGTGGCCCCCTCGCTGTCCTTCGTGGACCCGTTGCAGCCCTTCGTGGCCCCCTCGCTGCCCTTCGTGGCTTCGTTGCAGCCCTTCGTGGCCCCCTTGCTGCCCTTCGTGGCCCCGTTGCAGCCCTTCGTTGCCCCCTCGCTGCCCTTCGTTGCCCCGTTGCAGCCCTTCGTTGCCCCCTCGCTGCCCTTCATGGCCCCGTTGCAGCCCTTCGTGGCCCCCGTGAGTGCCCTTCGTGGCTTCGTTGCAGCCCTTCGTGGCTCTCTCGCTGCCCTTCGTGGCCCCGTTGCAGCCCTTCGTGGCCCCCGTGAGTGCCCTTCGTGGCTTTGTTGCAGCCCTTCGTGGCCCCGTCGCTGCCCTTCGTGGCTCCGTTGCAGCCCTTCGTGGCCCCGTCGCTGCCCTTCGTGGCCCCGCTGCAGCTCTTCGTGGCCCCGTCGCTGCCCTCCGTGGTTTCGTTGCAGCCCTTCGTTGCCCCCTCGCTGCCCTTCGTGGCCCCGTTGCAGTCCTTCGAGGCCCCCTCGCTGCCCTTCGTGGCCCCATATATGTATGCCCTTCATGGCCCCCGCTCGTTCGCGCCGGTCGTGGCCCCACATGCATGCTCTTCGCGGCCCCGCTGGCGCCCTTCGTGGCCCCCTCGCTGCCCTTCGTGGCCCCCTCGCTGCCCTCAGTGGCCCCGTCCTTGCCCTCCGCGGCCCAATATACGTATGCCCTTCGTGGCCCCCGCTCGTTCGCGCTTGTCGTGGTCCCATGTGCATGCCCTTCGTGGCCCCGCTGTCGCCCTT